CAGGGCTCATCATTTGCTGTCCACTTCCCTGCCATATATGTTATATTTAGGTTCTAAATCTACAGAATACAATTAAGAAAATGAGCATTTAATGGTGCAAGACCGACAGGGTCATGGTGGGTGGAAAGTCAATTTTATTCTGAAGTAACTTCACAGCACTTACAGGTTGAAGCAGGTAAATCAGTGAGCACTCCTGGATAACGATCACTGGAAAAGGAGTGATATTTGTTGCATGAAAAAGCGTTTCCACTGATGCCATTATTTGGTCAAAGCGTCCTCCAAGTCCGCCCAAAGTCACAATCATATCGATCTAAAAGATAAAACAAAACAGTCACCAAGAAAACTTTCAGGCATGATCTCTAGACCCTGAAAATCTACAATAAAATCACTTTGGGGAAAAAAAAGGGAAAATAACTACTGACTATAGAAAAGCAAATGTCAAATACAGTTATTTACTCCCATTACCAATAAATACCATTATGTGATTTTTGAAGCTGACTATTAAAGCTCAGTAAATTCATGGCCAAAATGTGGGACATTTAAAAAGGACATAACTGTTCTCCCTAAAATACAGGCCAGTCTTTACAGGTACTTATCTGTCTGCCCTGAATATATAGAGCCTATGATGTATGACTCCACATCTAAGACCCTCAGCTAAGTGGTATATCTGAGTTCTAGTATCTTTCATTGCCAGGTTTTAACATAATTCCAGAATTATCCTCGCAGTTTACAGAGTGAATAAAGGAAATTTCAAGATGAGGCCATTGCATGTTGTTCTTGTTGCTGTCACACAGCACTTCAATGCACCAGCAATCCCACTCACAGACTGGCTCCACTCAAGACTAAAAGCACTACTGAAGTAGGAGGTTCCACCCTGACTGACCAGCACATCATCTCTCAGCTAACAGGGACAGAAGCAGTCTCTTGTCCCAGTCCCAGACCTGCAGCGAGCACTGCCTGACTGCTTGCAACAGGCCACAGAGTCCGACTGCTGTTGCTCAATTCTCTCACACTCCATCAAGCCTCTTTATTTTCTCTAAGCAGAAAGGGAGTATTCAAAAGCCTTAGTTAAGAGCTTTTGAGTCCTCAGTTAAAAGGTCACTGAGTGCAAAGTATTATTATTATTACTTCCATAAAGTGGATCAGTTATGTTCAGTAATTGTATTTTAAACAGCTACTACTAAGTCCTATCTAGAGCCCTAACACATTGCAGCAATAGAGTCTTTAGGAGCTGCCCTGACATTGGCCATCTGGTGAAGTTTCCAACTTTATAAGACTCAAGTCTATGGCCACTGTGACTACATGAAGTTTTACTCAACCCAGGAGCCACATAATGGTGCTCTGTGTATCTGGAATGATGTATTAATAACATCAGCATTTTTATTGCCAGGGCTAGAGCCTTATGATTCTGTTGAATATTGATTTGCATGAAAATGAAGCTTTTTTCCCTTTGGTGATAAATTACACCATCTTTCTCATCACCACCAGGAAAATACTTGAGAAGCCAGACTAGATCAATATAACACATTATATTGGCAGCAAACACTGAAACAAAAAAGCTACTCTTGTACTGGAGATAGCATGTATTTTCTGTGCAGATTACAGTTCACACAGATCTAACATAGGACCAATAATACAATGGTAGGAAAACCTATCCTTAAATGGGAGACAAAATAGCAAAAGGTTTTTTAATCACAGTCATCATCAGTCAGACAAGAGTAGTTTGTTTCTACACTGGAATCAATAAAATGGAAAATGCATTATGGCTTAGCCATAACATAAATTTCTCTATTTTAAAGTATGACAGCAGTGATCCTGAAGTCCTACTCCCTATTCAATAGCAACAGTGCAGTGATCTTGTGGATTACTGCCCAAAAAGTAAGAAAATACAACCAATCTAGCGTGAAGTAGATTTATTATTTAGGGCTTGCATGGACTGTGAAAATGAAAACCACAAGTATGTGACAGGTATGCAAACAAAACCAACTGGAGTACAGGGGGAGCAAGCAGAGAGAAAAGCTCAAATTCCACGCTTCTGTGACAGCTGACAGCCCTGCCTTTCACTGGAGAGTCTTGGCAGCAGTGACAGGCATCCAGACACTGTAGGACTTTCAAAGCCGCTACTTGAAGGTCTAGGTATACACAATTTATTTAACAAAAACACAGAAAGGCTAAGTCCAACAAAAACCCCAAGAGCCTTTTCATCCTAAAGCTATTACCTCTGTTTAAAAAAAAAAACAAAAAAAACCCCAAAAAAACCCCACACCACAAAAATCACAAACTAACAAAACCATCAGTTCCCTCCTTGCAATCACTGCTCCTCTCGCTCTGCCAAGCACTTAAGAAAATGGATGTGCCATGAAAGCACATACACGGCTTTTGGTCATTCCAAAACCGAAGACAAAGTGAATAACAAAGCGGAGGGCATTTATATATTCCCACACTTCTGGCAGGAAAGGCTGTTCATTTTTCTACTATGATTTCCTATATAACACAGGCTACAGAATTATACTGTTACTGCTAATCAGCCCAGCAGGTAGCATTTGACTAACACACTGTACTTCAAGTAAAATGGCCATGCTTCACTTAAATGTCCTGTCACCAGTCCCCTTAAACCATATGTTTCCACATAGAGCCATTCATTTCCTGAAAAAAGGATATAAAATCCTAAATAACTACAAAGAAAAGCACTACAGGCACAGTGTAGAGGGCATTGTATTCTCTTAGACTATCTACAACCTGACAAATGTATTGCATACCATCTTTAAAGGCAATTGAGCTTTAATTTAGAAAAAGCTGAAGATCTAAGGTGGGATTCAGCCATCTTTAAATGATACGCTTATACATAAGTATCTCTTGCAAGAGTTTTAGCAGTCACTACCAAACATCAGGGCAGTTAAAAGGAGAAGGGAAGCATAAAGAAAGAACTTGTACTGGCAATTCAGGGATGTATTTCTTCCTTCTCCTGTAGGCTGTAATTTTGAAGGTGCAGTAACCAAGGCAGAACAAAGTTGCTCATGTTCCTGCTTCCTCTCTCACAGAGACTACTGAAATGGACATCTTGCTGTAAACTGTTTGCAGGCTTGCTAAATACTATCTTTCTGTTGAAATTGGTCCAGCTGACATTCCTCTTTCTGATGGGGACGGGTTAGATACAAGGAAAATTTTCACTGTATGGTTGAGGAACATGTATTTAAGGAGAAGGGTGAAAGGACACAGGAATCTGGGAACTGCCTAAGGTAGATGAAAAAGAGTGCAGCATCACCATGACATCTAAAAGCAAAGTCCAAGGCTCAAACTGACAGCAAAGGATGTCCATTCTTTTCAAAACTGTGCTTGTTATCTCTGATAAGAGATCCTCTCCCCAGGGTATGGGTAGGGCTCTGGACAGACAACTCAAATGGTTCAGCCAGGCAAACAAACTTGCCCAACTCTCAGAGAGCAGGGCAGGGGAATGGGAACACATTTACTGATTAGAACAGGTAGCACTGAATGAACCATGAAAAAGACCTGCACTAAAGGAAAAAAGGGAAGGGAACAGTAATCAAGATGTCATAAAAGCTCTGGAGCCATGAATAAACCTCCCTCCCTCTGAGACCATGGAGACCATTCACCGTTAATAGCTAAGATACTTCTATGCCAATTACAGGTCAGATATTCTATCTGATTTGAACATGGCTTCCTTTTATCACCTTCTCACTTCACTGATGTCTTTTCACCTTTCACAGCCTTTCTTCATTTCCTACCATTCATGAGCTTATTCCTTTAAAATTTTGGAGGAATATGATATAAAAAAAAAATTATTGTAGTAACATACATCATATGTTGAAGTCTATTATATGCTGAAAAGCAGACAATTAAGTAGTAGGGTGAATGCTACCATTTATTATTGCTTTAGCGCTTTGACGCTTTATCAGTTTTGACCAGTTTACAGTTTTTTCTTCATAAGGTAATTCTGTCAACTCAGAATGTGGTCTGAAAATCCAGATACATCCTTTCTGGTTTCTACATCAGCTTCAGTACTGAAGACTTCAAAACACAGCAAGCACTTTCCTTGATAACAAATGAGCCAGAGTAGATTTCGACTCATTCTCCTACAGCTATATTAGAGCTCTTGCGCTGGCCAGATTGCAGTCATTTTTTTAGATCATTCACAAAATCACAATGTAAATCTAATGAGCTATTAAAATCCCACAACCCAATGCTGAATATATAGTAAAATATTGTCCATTTTAGTTGATTATCCTAGCTGATTTACTTAAAAGGTATGGCATTCATTTCTTATAGGAATGATATGCCCAGTCACACAGCAGCAACTGAACTTTGCTCAGGTAGAATCCTCTACACTCCAGCTGGAATTTGCTCATTGCTTCAGTCATCTGACTCCTCATGGGAATGCAAGCTCTCAGCCGAAGGCTGCCAGCCTGTCTGTGTACCTGGGATGATAACTTGCAATCAGCTTCATCATCACAGAATCACACAGAATCACAGAATCG